GCCACTCTCACCACTGGTTCTGAAGGTATCGTCTGTCCTGTATTCCCTGTGTTTCCAGTTCCTATCTGTGCCAGTGTACATCCTCTGGTCCAGCTAGATTTGTAAGGTAGAATTGGGATCATGTTGGGGGTAGGAGGGAGGAAGCATTTAAGGACTAGAGGAAAGTTGTATGTTTCTTCATTGCTGCACTGCACCCTGAGTCAACTTACTTCTTTTGTACCACTCACAGAGCATTTCATGTTTGTCTCTATTTTCCATTCATATAAGATCCTCAGTAGGGCTTTCCCTTCACTCACAGGTCTGGGCTGTGAGCACTTTGGAGTACTTCCCTTTAACCCAGTGCCCACCACACAGCATGGCACAATAGTACATGATCAGCCCAAGTGTGTTGAGTGACAGAAGGAGAGAGGCAGGAAAAGCTAGCCCTGATGGGAGATAAAATTTGAAACCTGAGCTCTGAAGAAAAAGGGCGGGGTGGGGGTGTGATGTGGAGTGAAGTGCTCGTGAAGAGATTGTGGATAGAAGAAGCAAGCCTTCGGAAGAGGTGAAGCTTGGAGACGGTCAATTCCTCTCCTTTCTCCAAGCAGCCAACAGGATTATCAGGAAAGTGGAGCCGGGGACTGGAGCTATCCAATTTAACAGATATGGGAAATAATGCCTTCCGGAACATTTGATGATTTTTGGAAATTATGATTTTTAAGAAATGATGTTATCACTAGCTGCCATAGACTTCTCCTGGGGCCATTTTTTGGCGCCCTGCCCTGCTAGCCTCCATATTTCTCTGCAGTTAGTTCAGACCAGGTTTCCCCTTTATGAGTTATGACGAGACACAACCACTAAAAATGCTTCCAATGATTTGCCATTATACTGATGACCATTAGAAAGTTTATATACTCAATAATGAAGTATTTTCTCTTAACAGATACAAGATTCATCTTGTCCAATCAGCTCTCAGTTTCTGCTGGTTAATGGCAATTACAATAAAATATTACTGCTTATAATATCTTCTCATTTTTATTTATCAGCATTTCTATAATTGGTTAAGTCATGGATTCAGAAGACACAGCTGAATGTACTCCATTCAGCCAGCTGTGAGGCAACAAGGTGTGGCAGTTAACTAGGTACGCTCTGTTGCCAAGCTACAAGGTGTGGCAGTTAACTAGGTATGCTCTGTTGCCAAGCTACAAGGTGTGGCAGTTAACTAGGTATGCTCTGTTGCCAAGGTTCACATCACAGCTCTAATACTTAACTTTAAACGCCCTCTTCTATATGACCCAGATTATCCAGTTGAAACATAGAGATGATAATAATGATAGTATACTGACACAAATTATTATGAGTTTTCTTTGGTTCATACCAATGGTCAAATTAACACTCACTATATTTAAACTGAATAAGAATAGTGTTTGTGCTTATGAATGTTGAGAATTTAGTAGGTTTAAGAAACTGGCCTTTTAAGAGTAAAATCCAACTGGGACTGTCAAAAGGAAAATTCAAAACAATGAACAGTTGTATCCTTCTTACACTGACACACATTCAAATAGCCTCAGACACTTCCCACCACCATATTTTTCCCCATGGCCTATGTCTTATCACATTTATGTCTGCCTTACCAGTAGAGCCCACACCTGACTAGTACTTGTGCTGGGCTCACTTTGTTCTATGTGTTTGGTTCAGTGAGAAAAAGGGAGGCCTACAAGGAATGGATTGACACAGTGGCAACAACAATGGACTCAAATATACTAATGATTATAAGGATGAGGCAGGTCTAAGCAATGTTACATTTCGTTGTACTTAAGGTCATTGAGTCTGAGTCCACTAAACTGCATGTCATAAGAAATACTCAACAAATGTCTATCTAACAAATGAATGAATATCTACCTATCTACCTATCATTTTACTCACTTAGTTTTACTCACTCATTAATTTAATAAATGTTTGTTGAATGAACTAATGCCTGAATTTACACTAAAAACAAAACAAAAACCAGCAAGTCTCTAATTTCTGTTTCTGCTCTTTTCTGGAATTCTTACTGCCTCAGAACTTGGACTCCTTGAGACACTTGTTGGCTCCCAGCCTTCTCCCATCCTCCCTTACTTGTTTCTTAAATTAACTCAAGATTTTATCTGTTATTTACAGTATAAATTGTACTATTAAGACTGCTATACACATTCCCCTCTCCCTCTCTCTTTCCTCTATAAAAAGCCATATTTCCTGTGACTTATACTCTGCGTTGTTGCTGTTAGTTGTGCGTGAGCCAGTTCTGACGCACAGCAACCCTGTGTCCAACAGAATGAAACACTGGCCAGTCCTGTGCCACCCTCATGTTTTGATGTTCGAGCCCATTGTTGGCAGGCATTGTGTCAATCAATCTTTTCAAGAGCCTTCCACTTTTTCTCTGCCCCCTGGTTTACTGAGCATGGCATCTGAGATAGTTTATTGTGCCAGCCTGGCTGATAAAC